ACTCCCCCCCCCATGTTAACAATGTAACCCCAAACGAAGAATATCTTATTTTCGCGAGCGGTTTGGGAGAGGGCCGGCGCCAAGGAGGAGGTGGGGGAGGGGAGGGAGGGATTTGGGCGGGTATAGATAGGATATTTGTAGGCAGGGCGAGATGACGCCTGAGCCTGAGCCTGAGCAGACGGGAGGAGCATGCTTTTTAGTTCCCCAACCCAACCAGGGGAGGAAGGAGACACATTTATTATTATTATTGTAACTGCTGGCAAAGTACCCGGTACATCAGCTGGCCTGGTAAGAAAGAATCATCGATCGATACGATACGCCAATCGGGCTGGTATTATTATTGGGGGACGGTAATCAATCATCTTCGTCGTCTTTCGTCTTTCGTCTTTCGGGTTTCGGGGAAGTGTTACGGCGTAAAGTTACCAAGCAGGTGGCACCGAGGCGGCGGCGGTCTCAAACTGATAATCACTGGGCTGTGTACGGGGGGGTTGGTTATCAGGAGTTTCTTCTGTTACATACGCTAGAATAGAGCTCCAGATTACAAAATTACAAAATTACACAATTACACAATTACCAAAATACGAAAATACCGATGCATAGATATTAACGGCTGGATTGCCCCACAAAAACAGGGCGTTTGGTCTCCAAAAAGAAAAAAAAGACCAACGGACACCGATGATATTTAATTATCAATTGATCATTTATCATTACGCGGCCCTGTATCCGCCCCACAACCCAGCCAGCAAGTGGCGGGCCCCAGACTCCCAGCAAAATCCTCCTCACAGCCCAGGGCAAGAAAAATAAAAAAGAGGGCTAATGAAAAAAGGGCAAAAAACCCGCCGGGTTGATTCCGGTTTGTCCCTTGCCCGCCGTAACTACTCCGTATGTTGTTTCCCCGTTCGTTCGTTCGTTTCGTTCGTCTCGTTCTCCCCCTAAAACAGTAGTCAGGCTTAAGTCAGTCAGTCAGTCAGTCAGCCAGAGGGAAAAAGAGGGCGCAATCGCAATGGACGTATGAATGTAGTATTATAAAATAGGATTTGAACAGAGGTACCACGGTATCAATATACGGTATTATAACACCGTCCAAACAGGTATTGCAAACATCGGGCTTCTCTTCCAGCCCAACCCCTGATACCGAATCAATTGGCCGAAATCGCAATTCAATTTTTCATCCGCGGGGGGGGGGGAGATATCCAGGTATCACCGTACAATAGAGCTCATCTCATCCCACGTAACCGTGTCATCTTTCTCTGGTCTCTCCTCCCAGACTGACGGAGCGCGGAATCTAGTGGGGCGGCGGGGGGTTCACTTTCAGCCAGGGCAGGGCAGGGCAGGGCAGGGCCAAAGAGAAGAGTCCAGACGCCCAAAAGCTCAAAGAACTTAAAAAGCCCAAAAGACTCAGAGAGTTAGGGCTGGCTCACATGGGAAAAAGGCGGAAAAAAAAAGAGCCAGAGACATAATTCAAATTCTCCATGGACACAGCATTGACATTATTATTATTATTATTATTTCATTCTGGATCGTTGTGCCGGTCTGAACCCCGTCAGGCAGGTAGGCAGGTTCCTTTCTCTTTCTTTCTTTCTTTCTTTCGTTTCTTTCTTTGACCGCATCCTCCCCCCCCCGACCCCGGATTCAAAAACCATAAAACCCTCATAAGTGATAATTAAAAATAACTAACTAAATAAATAAATAAATACAAGGAGGAGGTGTAAGCAAGGTAAAACGCTCACCACCAACCGTGGAAAGCGAAGTCCAACAAGTGATGAAAGAAAGGACTTTCAAACCACATACACACACCCCCCACGCATGTTCCCTGTCACCCCTGACCAACCCCATAACTGCTCAAACCCCAGAAATATCCATAATCTGCGATCAAAGAAACTCTACTCCCCACCACTGCTGAGAACGGTAAGTCACCGCCCGAAACACAATATCATGAGGTATGTACAATACATACATTGACCATGGGTACTAACCCACATGAAATAATAAAACCCGCAACCGTTAAAGCCTTCTGGTAGCAAAGTGCGCAAATGAGCGGGGAAGAGGGGGAGGGAGGGCCTTTGTAGCAATATGCGATCAAGCCCTGTGGACAATTACCCCCGTACACAAAGCGCGATTATACCCGCTACAAGTGTTGGTTATTTATATTATTGTTTGTTTCTGGCTGTGTATGTACCCCGGACATTACTGCCCGATGCTTCCCTGCCGGGGTCATCGTCATCACCAAAAAAGAAAAGAGAAGAAAGAAAAAAGGAAAGAAGCAAGCAGCGCGACTAGCAGCGGTCAAGCAGGGTCAAGCAGACAGACAGGCAGCCGCAAGTCGGTCAGGGCTCAGGAGGGAGTTCTCCGGCGCAGTCAGTATGGCGGTGGACGGACGGCGGGAAGCGGACGCAGCGAACAGCGGTACGGCGCGACTTGACGTGCATAACAAAAAAGCCATCCACTGCTTTTGATTCAGGGCTCGATCCAGGCCTGTATCCGTCACTTGATATTTTCCCCATTGCATGCGAAGTTGCGAACCCGGGAGAAGGCGGCCGGGGAGTGGAGAGCTACATAGTACAGCTTTAAAAAATGGGTTGCATGTCCACACTTTTACTGGCCATATGCAACGTACTCTCCACAGTTACGACAAGGGGTGGCAAGGTTGATTCCCCCTGCTTTGCACCTTGCATCTGGACCCCGTCCATCCAACGCCGAAACAAGTAACTTGGACGACAGCAGCCGACACAGCAGGGCCAGGCACCGCGTCTATCTTGCCCGAAAGCGCTTGCTTCCCCGCAAAAAGACAAAAGAGACAAGGATTTAAAACATGATGAATCATCTATTTTGCTTGACGTCTCATAGGCCAGCCATCAATCAATCAATCAATCAATCAATCAATCAATCAATACATAGCATCCAATCCAACAGAAATATTTATTGATTGCTCCCAACAAGTGCTCAAGCAGGCATTCATCGTATAATATCATCATCGATCTCAGAGTCACACGGAGTACTCCGTACAGAAGCAGAAATTACCCTCGACAATGAAACATACACCACATGACTTATCTACGCTTCTTCTTTCATCAACCACCCTCTTGCGCCAGCCAGCGTGAAACCGTAACATTTTTATAGTCTGTTTCATCATCAACGCCCACTGGCTGCCCTTCCTTCCTTGCCACTAATAAAGTACAGAGTACATATACATAAATACACATAACCCATTTCTTCTGGCAGCTATTGTTGTTTTACCAGAGATCGCGCGCGCGAATCAGCGACGCCCCCGCCTCACTTCATCTTGACCCCCACGCCCTTTGCCCCTCTTCTTCACCACCCTCAAATGCGACTACTCGTTAACTAATTGCCAACACTTTGGCGTTTGGCGTTTGGCGTTTGCACACATAAAGTTACAGAGGTAACTAGTTAGCACTCTGGAAGAGGATCTTTTGAGTGGAGTAGAAAGACAGGGGTTGTACTCTTCCTGCCTGCCAGCCAGCCAGCCAGGGGGTATCTATCTTTCTCTCGTGCGGGGAAATATAATATTTCCCCGAGACATGAAGCACTGGGGTATAATAATAATATGATGCTTATGGCCCAGTTCCTCTATCCAAGAGGGTTTTATGTCGATACGATACAGGTGCAGGTACGGTACACGCCGGCACTTCTTCAGCCCTGAATAACAAACTCACTGCTAATTTCTAAATGATGGGGATGGAAGGTTTCACTCCTTCATCGCCGAGTGCAGGGATGCGCAGCGTGGTATTCTCCGCAGCGCCCCCAGCTGGTTTAAATAAGTTTAGCCTTCGAACTTGGAAGATATAATCCGCATAATAATATATAATCCCCGAGTCCAACCCCCCCTCGCTAACAACGTCTCAGGCACGTCACATGCATGGCCAGGTCAGATCGCCCGTTTACCCTCAGCTACCCGCTTGAGTAATTGTGAAGGAGGGAGTGCATCTCATCTCTCTGCGAAGGTTGAAAGCAGAGATCTTGCATCGGACTGAGATTATTATTACTCCTCAGACGTTTTCAAAGTACGCACAGTTAAAAAAAGCATTGGGGCCCTCTTTCTAAATCATTATTTCATTCCAATACACGAGAAAACACAGCATTGCGGCCGGTTTCGCACATATATCACAACCACCTAAGCCACAGATCTAGTTTAACTCATGCTGTGAGCAGAAAAAGAATACGAAAGAAGAAAAAAAACATCCTCTATTCCCGCTCCGCCGCGTTTCCTCCCCTTATCTCCGTGTCTTATCCATCGCGACCACGGGTGTATGTATTCCTCCCCCGCATAGTCGCATCCGCGAGAGGGAGTAATGATGGGGTGGATGGGTGGATGGGTGGATGGGTGGTCGGGCTGCCAATTGGAAAAATCATGATTACCTCTGCGAAGTATTATTATTATTTATCTCGTATCTTCGATCGTTTAAGCGATTTATTATCCATTTTATTAGATCATCATTTTATTTATTTCACGGAAATATTTCTCACACTACATGGACAGACATGGATTATCGATTCCAATATGCCTGGACGTTGTTCGGATGGAAAAAAAAAAAAAAAAAAAAAAAAAAAAAACGCGGGGAATGAAACAAACCGGGAGGCCTAGGCCTGGTCACCACTAGTTCAGGCGTGGCGGCTTGGCTGGCTTGCGTGGAAAGAATTAACAGTTTCTCTTGAGCTCCCGATTGGAGAGTAATAATAACGTTGATATTCCAATCACTTGTTGTAGCGTATAGCCCCAGGAACACTTTGAGCGCTGTACGCTGTAGAGTTGATCATTCAAAAAACGTCTGTCTGTCTGGGCCTGCAGACAAAGATCCATCCCCTGCAACGCCCAACTCCCTCGATCAAACCATGTTTGCAGACTAGATTTCGGCTCTTATTATTATGCCCGAACGGCGACACGAGCAAGGGGAAAAAAAGGATAAGTTATTTCGAGATGGTTGGGGCGAGGGAGGGAGGGAGGGGAACGATAGGTTGAACGTTTGACCGTTTGTTTTTTTATTTCTTTTAATTTTTTAAAATGTGATGATTGGTTGGTTGGTTGGCTGTGGCTTTTTTTGGGGAATAGAATCCTTGCATTCCTTGAAACGGTTTTCTTTTTCTTTTTGTTTCTTTTCTTACCTTTATTATATTATTAATGTGAAGGGTTGGGTGGAGGAAGTTTAGCGGTCGTAACAAGATCTGCGGGTTGCATTCTCAATGAACGATTAGCAGCTGGAGTGAAATTGCGAGATGTGAAGAGTTGAAGCTCATTCAATTGTTTCTTTTCTTTTCTTTTTTTTTTTTTGCCAGCAAGCGGTCTCGATGGATGCTTTCGAACGGGGTTTGTGGTTGTGGGTTTGGTGATCGTTTCATACCAACGTTCAAATGGCGCCAAGCAGAAAAAATCACACTCCAAGACGGCGATGGTCGACGTCGATGTGACGGCGGGAACAAAAAAAACGACAAGGCCTCCAGCAGAGCTCTCAGCCACAACTACAACTAACTTCTAACTACGGAGTAGCTTCTACAAATCAGCATCACACCATCCCCCGTCACAACGTGGAGACGCCAGGTTTCATGTTCGGAGAGTTTTCTCTATTCTATGGCTGTGGCTGGAGCTTCTTGTGACAAAAGAAAGTATAAAATTAAGCGTGGTGGCCGCTTAAGTCTAGGCTCTCAGGCGCCACAAGTCAGCGGTTGTTGATGTCGCTTCTGGCAAGTTGTGATAGCTACCATAGTATCGTATCTCAATTCCCCATGTACTCATTGGCCAGCACATTACATTCACAGCTGGAATAAATAAAATAAAATAAATAAAGATAAAGATACTTTTTTTAGCGCCTCACCGTCACCCTCACATCAGTAAGTCAGTAGTGGAAGTGGACATACATACCTGAACTCCTGACCTCTGCGTTGGCCGCTGTATCTCCCTATCGCCGTCCTCCATCGTCCCATCATCCCAGGTCACGCGTTTCTCACTTTTTTACTCTTCGGGAATCTAGAGGTAGAGATCGAAGCATAAGCCGCCCGCCCCCCCCCACTGGGGCGAACCCATGTACAGTACAGCGTAGTCAAGTTACTACGGTGCATTGGAAAAGACGAGAAGGAAGAAGGAAACAAAAGAAAATAAAACAGAAGAAAATAAAATAAAATAAAAAACCAACTCACCCCGGTCTTTGATCCGATCCATGCCAAGTACAATACATAATAATTAAATCTTAATCAGCGCGTGGGCGCCGCCACCATTCACAATATTAAATAATGGCCCACAAGTGTTGTCTTCTACCCCCTTTCCAGAACAATTTGACCAACGGTAACCCAGGGTAACCTCTTGCCTTAGGCTAGGTGGGTTAGGCATGGCATGGCCTCGGCGGCGCGGGCTGACGGCGGAACTCATCCCCACGCTGAGACGCTGACACGCTGAGACGCTGCTGACACACTGACAAGCTGACAAGTTGTGGACAAACTGGCTCGAGCCGGGGGCTTGTTTTAAGTTGTTTTAGCGAGGTTAGGTATGGTATAGCTAATTAATAGCCGAGCAAGGGTTGGAGAACTCCCGGGTTGGGGAAATAGGAGGATCAGAAAGGTCAAAAGAGATCTCGCCGAACGATGCGTGGGGTCCATGGATGCGATGCGATGCGATGCATGCGCAGAGCGTAACCCTCCTCCCTTCGAGTTGGTGTTTTTTTTTTTTTTTTTTTTTTTCCCATCTGCCGTTTGTCTCCCGTTATTCTTCTCCTTTGCCATGTGGGAATCAGCCTTCATCCATGCAAACACCATATCCTGGTGACTGATGCTGGGGATAAGCGCGTCAATTTCCTCGTCAGCTGGTATATAACAAACAAGGTTCTTTTCTTTCCCTTTTATTAAAGACAGGGAGGGGTCTCAATAAGTCTCTGGGTATTGGTGGACAGCCGAACACATTTGTTTTGACATTTGTTGACATCTCAAGAGCAAACTGTTTTGAGGAAACGCGGAAAACCACTCCAACTCCCAACTCCCTCTCTCTCCCTCTCTCTCTCTCTCTGATGAACCCCCGAATGAAGCTCAGAGTGCATCGCATGACACTTCCAACACTTATCTAGCATCCCGCTCCCCCCCCCCCCGTCAAATCGCCAACATGAGCTCCCGGGGTTGCGCTCGGCGGGTGGGTGCGGTGCGTGATGATCACATTCATTGTTACGCAGTATTTTCTACCAGGAACCAACACGAATCGAATCCTACCTTCCAGCTTCGGCTACATCCCAGCCAGCCGCCTCGAGTAATAAAAAAAAAGTTCATTTCTTTTTCGTATTGGTTATTAACTTATTATTAACTTACTTATTTATCTCGGAGGGATGGGATGGGATGGAGGAAATGGAATCCTTGCCTTTACCCTCCTCAGTTAAATCAAATAAGCAGCTTGTGGTGTGATCGCTGATCGCTCCCATCCACTCACTCATCGCTTCGAGATGTTTGATGGGTTGGTTACGATGGTGATCCGGGGAGTGAGATGGGAAGCGAAGGGAGAGGGTATATTTCCTTGTTTCCGTAAGAGTAGTACTCTTCGGAGGGGGTATTTTTTCTTTTGCCCATGGAGAACTAGCTAGCTCTACTGGTAAATATCCCCCCCCCCGGGTGAAATACAGTATTCGTATTTCTCCAGCGAGTTGTTTGAAACTACTCCGTACGTATGTTATTATTATTATTATTATTATTATTATTAAGTACCGTTAAAATCCCGTCACCTTCGGGTGAAGCACGGCGGAGTCTAGTAGTAAGTAGTTGATAAGAAAATGAGGGAACTTTCCAGGAACGGAGTGCGCCGGTAATGTCCATTGGTTGGCTGGGCTGAGGAAGAAAACATCCGGAGACTCGAGAGCGAATTCGTTCGGCAACAACGGCTAACTACACATCGCCGCGAAACCATGTTTGAGAGGTTGTTGCCAGTTGGTGGAAGAGGGAGGGAGGGAGAACTGGATGTATCGCCGTCAGACAGTAGTAGTGAGTGGAGGCCAGCGAGAGAAGTTCACCCGATCTCCTCCACTTTTCTTCCGTTGCTGGGTTGGATCCCCTTTTTCGCCGTCAACCTTCGGGCTATTTACTCCTATCGGCATGCATCATGATACATGTTGTGTTGCCTCGGGCAAAGAGCGGGTCTTGAAGCTTTGCAGCCTTTCCCAAGGTTCTGGCAGCTTTTTTCCCTCTCCTCTCGCGATTGTGGACCCGCGCGGCTATCTCCGCCAGCCGAGCCAAATACCTGGTAACGTGCGCTGGCGTACTGTACCTAGTTACTGCGTAAGTTAGCGCGATGCGTCCCGATCGGAGAGCATCGGAACCGGGGGGTGTCACACGTGATAGCAGTCGGGATAACACGGAGTTTGGGCCTCGGCTTCTTTGGGTTTTGAACTCCTGGGACAGAAATAGTCACCTGACCGTCGCGAGCTGCGCGGTGACACCAAGCCACTTCGCGTCTTCCCTGCACTTGCTGGGGGGCAACTTTACTGTGTACGCCCGCCCCATGCCCCATGCCTGCCCCCATGTCCTGAGTCGCGACGGTAGGTAGGGTAGGTAGGGGGAAGTGTGTGATATCAACACATAAGGAAAGTCAACCTTGTCCAACTTCCAAGGAGCATTTTTTTTTTAATTGGAATTTGCAGCGGATTTCAGCTAGGGGTGATTGGTGGTCAGTTCATTGTTATTATTTTATGACACAGCGTTGTTGGAAATGTGATACTCAGCCAGCAGGTTCTGCCGTCTGCTAATAAAATTACAGGCGATAGCCTCAAAATACATTATTATTATTATATAAACTGCTTCAAAATGCTTCTCTCTTACTAATTTTCAGGCTATTTTTCCGAACAAACCGTTTACCATATGATGATGGAACAGCTCCGCTACGCCAGGCTCTTTTTACACTCCAGCATGGGACTTCAAAACAGGAATGAATATCAACTCAATCCGTACGGAGTAGCCCTCAGGTGGCTTTGTATGAGGTTTTAGGAGATTTCACATTACTACTCACCCCCGGGACTGCGAGGGCTAGGGCTGAAATCTCTTGATTTGTTTTTTCTTTTCTTTTTTTTATCAGAAGTCCTGACTACTTCCCCGGACTTTAACTATTAATTATTTTCTTTGTTTGCACCAGATAAAAAAAGAAAGACTTTCACCTTTCCCCAGGGAAGGCAAGAAAAGAAAAGAAAAGAAAAGAAAAGAAAAGAAAAGAAAAGAAAAGAAAAGAAAAATTTACGGGGATGGAGAGAAACGTTGTTCCTACTGGCCAGAAAGCTAGAAATACATCTATCACATTTTCCGGTGGAATTGAACCAGAGGTTCTCTTTTAAAGAAGTTCCAGTTACGGATAGACTACTTTTTCCCCCGTCTCCCTCCTCCGCGCCACTTGATATACGGAGTATTCAGATCTCAGATCTTCATAGTTGGGTGGCACTTGGACGTTGCGCGGCGGCGCCGGATACATGAACAGCGAACTTATGGAAAGTGGTCCTGTCGAATCGCAAACCTGGAGCTGAGGACGTCGAGCAGACAAAGCGCAAACGGTCAATGCCGGTCTGATGAATTGTAAATCATTTCTTGAAGAAGAAGAAGAAGCAGAAGAAGATATGCATCAAGCAATGGAAAAGGGGGAAAGGAGGGCGCTACGGCCGTATGTACGGGTTACCCTGCCAGAGGCTGCTGCAGGTGCAGCTGGCGTGCGTGCAGAGAAAAAAGGCCCAGGCACAATGAGGATTTTGCGGTTCTCAATATACTCACCATCTCTTTTTTCTTTTCCGCCTACAGTTCAATATACCAAACCGTCGGGTTTTAATCGTCAACGCCCGTCCCCCGTCCCCGACCTCCCCGTCAAGAAATAATAATAAAAGTGTACCGTGTTCCAAACATGAACACTCCATACTGTATGTATCTCTTGTAGATACAATACATACATACATACATACAGACTTGCTCCATACAGAGCGAATCAAACCCCATACTTCATTTTTGACATCTGTACTCCGTATCGTAGAATCTCTCACTCTCTCTCCCCCCTCGGTCTTGCTTTCTTTGTTATGGAGCGCGCATCATTCCTGCGAATACACGGGGGGAATATGTCTTTTACAGATCGTGTAACAACATACGACACATATGCAGCACGAACGTCCACCCCATACCCATACCCATACCCCGTTAACCCCATACATCTCATAAAAAGCGTGTCATACAGAGTTACAGTTACTTAGGATCAAAGCCTTGACTCAGTGATACAAGCCTCGGCCGGTGAAAGAGGGCAAATAGGGGGTGCTTTACAATTAATAGCAAAGAGAAATCTAGCTTCCATGTGTCATAGCAAAAATATTGAACTATTTGGTAGTTAGTAGTAGTAGTAACTAGTTAACCAGTTTTATTTGTTGGGGGGAAAAAAAAAAGAAATGTACTACCTACCCTCCCTGCTTCACAGAAGAATTGGATATATCTGATGTGATCTATCTATACACAAACCCCCCGGCATTTTTCTTATTCCTTCCTTTTTTCTTTGTTTTTCTGCAGTGAGTCAGTTCGGTTTCGTTCCCTATTCGCGCGCCGGTTTTTAAAGTACTCTTTACATGTATGTTCGAGGGATCTTGAGATCTCTTGAGTGTCTGGAGGGTTGTGTTGTATTCGTTGGCGAAGAAGATCACCGAGGGGGGTAGACAGGGGAACGCTTTTCAGGGTGAAGGTTAGTTAGTAGAAGGGAAGCATGAAAATGTAATGTATGTAGTTATGCTCTTCGCTTCGTTTCGTTGCTGTTGTAATAATATCTGTTATCCGTAACTAACTTACTTAAAGTGAACAGCATGCCTACACCTATTTTGGGCAGATCTTTGAGGGAGTTCTAGAGAAGACAATTTACTTGTTTTAACTTGCTTCAATAATATGACACCGGTTGTGGGGCATGTGGAGGAAGTGGCAATATTATAGGAACCACTGGGAAATGCGCTGGATTCCAAATCCCCCGAGGCCGAAGGATAGGTAGGATGCTGCTGGCTGGCTGGTTGAAGGAAGGCTTTGCTGTTTTAAGCATTCTTTCTTTCAGAAATGCTCATCAAAGTAAGTATCAATGGGATATTTTGATATTATGAGCAGCTCAACGAATTATTATATATTAGATGGAATCGTCACAGACTAAAAATTGAAAAAAAACTGTTGTGGTTTTCCCCATTAAGTTCCAAGGGCTGACCTGACTGAACAATTCGCCAAAAGACCGGAAACCGACGCACCGCACTGAACGGAACTATTTCCACTGCGCCATCCATTTGCTCAAGATAGATGATAGATGCGTAATGTCTTCATCTGTCCCATGTCCTGGCCGAACTATTTACCTTGGGACGTAGTACCGGCTAGCTAAGTATACCATACCATACCTGGACACCGCAACTTTTGCGTTGACATGTCAATATTTGTTCTTCATGGGCTGCTCTGACCCCTTGGGTTCAGAACATTGATGAATATGAAAATCAACACCCTGGACAAATCCATTTGCCATTATGAAGGTCAAAAATATCATTAAGAGAAACGATTTGGAGACGGAGAGAAGGGAGCCCTTGTCTTGGATTGCTAACCCGGTGGCCACCGGGCCTGAAACCCAGCAGAATGACCATCTCATCTTAGAACCCAGTTCTCAGGGGAGTTCCCGACTGGTGAACTTGGATAGTAGTACACAGAAGATGTGCTCGGAAAACAAACTCCCGCTCTTCAGGAAGCGTAAAGCTGCGCCCATTGAATTGTTCTATGACTTGTTCTTCGTCGCCAATCTGTCAAGCTTCACATCGACACATGAAATAAATACCACGGCCAGTTAGTATCCCCAAGGAGTCATATATATATATATATATATATATATATCGGAGACAGATTCTAATACGGGTTTCAATAGACCTAACGGCGTATGCCGGGTACATTTCATTGCTTTGGTTCGTATGGCTCCAGACTACCTTCTTCGATCTCCGATTCCATACCGATTCCGCTCTGTCACGGGTATTCAGAGCCGCACATCTAGGGATCATGGCCGGCTTCGCTGTCTTGGGACCTAACTTCGACCCATCAAATCCCTCGTCAAAGCCGAATGAGTTTCGGAACATGAGCTTCGTTCTAATGACTTCTCGAATCATCCTGGCTCTCCAGTATGCCTCCATCGTATGGTATATAAAGGGGTACAAGAGGACGGTTTTTCCAACTTTGCTGGTCATTGCCACGGTTTTTACTACCGCAATGGCGTATCTGGGTCTCGCGTTCACGTTCACCAGGACCAGCGGCCATTTGGCTTTCCTTGCATGGTATGTTATTGGGGCGGTGGAGGCGGTGTTCATGATATCCATCTCCAGCTTTTGGAGGGTGCTTAGTTTCAAGGAGACAGCTATCATCGAGAGATTTAATGGGATGACATTGATTGTTCTAGGAGAAGGAGTAGTCGGGATGACCAAAGCCGTAAGTTTCATAACTAACGTGCTGATTGTTATAACAAAAGGGTTTGCTAAGCTGATCCAACCATATACAGGCCACCAGTGTAGCCCAAGGAGCAACAAACATCCCCAAATCTTCCATTGGTCTTATCATAAGCTACATCCTTGTCATTGTAAGCCTTCTACTGCCTGGACGGTATTTTTCAACATGCTTCCTAACAAATACACGGCGTAGTATTTCATCTATATAATATACTTTGACCAGATTTCAGAGGAACGGTTCGGCAGCATACGTCAGCAGATATGGGCCATTTTACACTTCCCGTTACACATGGCAATCCTTCTCACCATTGAAGGCAGTCGTGGATGGATCATGTGGAATGTCGCCAACCGTATCGTGGAGCATGCTACCTTGAAAGCCAGCATGTTCTTTGACGGGCTTTCGGCATCGCAAAACTCAACCGCAGCACAGGGGTTGGTCAATGACCTGGAGCTAATCGTCACCGCTGTCTCCGATCGGCTCCGGTCCCCCCAACCAGTACCGGACTTTAAACCGATATACAACCGGCTCCTCGCCCTCTCCGACAACGACAACAATTGGGGCGCCGAAACCTCCGCGCTTTTCGAAGAGTTTTTCAACAAGCTTTACCTCTGGGTTATGCGCACATTTGGCATTGTGCTGCCGCAGCTAGACGGCTCCGGAAAGCAGATCCTTGAGCAGCAGAACAAGGAAGTTTCCAGCAAGTTCTATGTGTTGTTTGCCTACTTCTTCATAGCCGCTGGGCTGACGCTTGTGTTCCTTGCGTCGCTGCATTGGTTCGGCAAAATGCATAAAACGCGTGGCGAGATGCTGTCCATCGTTCTTACTACGCTGATTGGGGCCGGTCTGGCGTTTATCTCACTGTTTGTTACGGTTGCAAAGAAAGCAGCTGCCATCGCAGAGACGCCCTTTTCGAGTTTCCTGACGAGTGGGTGGATTGTGCCAACTGTAGTTCTCACTTATGGGCTCGGTAAGTTTTGCAACGTTGTCCGGGGAGGCTCGAACCCTTTCTATATAAAGTTAGTTGAGATTTGGTTTCTGCTAATTTTCATACCTTATCGCAGTCGTTGTGATTGATAACTTGATTGTTTGGGCATCACACAGGCGCTGGATTAGGTGGGCACACTAGGTGGGTAGTAAGTATACTGGTGCAGAGGCGTCATATATCTCGTTTCAATACATTTTGCTCGTAGCCACTGCTACCACTGCAGCGTTCTGAAACCTTGATGAACCCTATAATTCAACCGACCATTTCGACATCGATACAACAGATAATTTAGATAATCTATGATCAATACCCCAAAATGCGGTATTTGAAATCGTCGTGTCAGTAACTAAAGGATCGGTATTGTTTTTGTAGTGTTGTTACGTCGACTTCCGTGGTTCAGGTTCAGACTCTACATATCATATCTCCTTGATCAGCTGAAAAATAAGGTATCCAGAAGGGGATATCTGAGTTCTCATTGGTGACTTTATGGCTTCCTACGAGCCCAGGCCCAGGCAGACACTGCACCACCATGCAATGTCAAAATGATACGGTTAGCTAAGCTCCCTTCCCTTCAGAACTGTGATAACTATCCTTCTCCAGGGCAACATCTCTTACCATTCGCCCGCTCTCCAGCGAAAACAGCCACCCCTGAATCCTGTGATGCATACAAATGGCGAGGCAAATGTCACCTGTCAACGCGAGAAGCAGTCGACATTGCAATTCCCCAATAATGAGGTAAAAGCAAAATTCGTCATCCGGTTTCCTTTCCTGGAGCTCGTTCCGGTGAGTCCGATTAGCGAATATCCTGATCATTGATTGATTGTTTCATGCTAGCTGACTCCATTATTATTATTGGCATGGGCAGTTCACGCGTACACTTGGGCCAGATCTCGATCTTTGTGAAGTCGACTACTCCGTAGACAACTCCCCCATGCCATGTCGTGATGATCGCTCTGTGGCTTGGTGGCGTGGCGGCGCCCCGGTTCTGAGAGAAGCATTTTCCATCAACTCGCTCTAAAGCTACAGTCCGGGCGCCAGTAGCTATGTCAACAGCAAATGATTTTGAATATTTGGGGCCTTCTATAGGTGGCTAGGGATGTATTTATCGGACGTTCGTTCCTCGTTGGTATGTCAATTTACAGAGTACTGTGCTTGGTACTGATAACCGGCTGGGCTGTCTGGTATCCTCTATCTGTTCCTGTGCTGAAATTACCGGCGGGTATTTTATACCTGCCGAAGGAGGTGATGATATTTCGAACAGCTAATATTCGTTAATTATGAATGAGGTTTGATTGAAATTGGTTCGTTCTTCTCGTTGTTTTGATGCAGGGTTCCCGTTCATTGTCCAAGACCAACAACTGTATAACATATATATATCTATAGATTTGGAACATCTCGACCTCAAGGATTTCTACAACTCTGACATACCCCTCCCAACTATTTCCGAGTGAAGCTTACTACTACATCTAGAGATCAAGAAGACGAGAGCAAAGCTCGAATCTTGGATTTGAAAATGGAAAAATTGGATTTCTTATTCTTACTCGAGCATATGTCTGGAAGATGACTTTCCAGGAATTACAGATCAGCTCTGAGCACTGTCAACAAACATCTGTCCCATTTCTGTACACCAGGATGCCTACCGTGCATTGCTAGAGAGAGGCATCCTTCACCAAATTCGTTGCATTTTTGTCTTTACCCGTTGGTTGGCCCTGAGAACTGCAACGAAAGGGCAAGGCGTTGAGGATGGCTATATTCTATCGGAGCTATATCTGCCATCGGCACACAAATGTTCTACAGTGGTTGGTCAGATTGAAAAGAGATCCGTCACCCATCACGATGCCATCATTGTACTTCCTTGATGAGAAGCAGGTAAAGAGGCATGGTGTGTGTTCATCTAGATGATGCATGACGCAGTTGCGCATTCCACCAGGCGCAAGCACGTGCAAGCAACTGATCTCCCAAGACAGGATCGGCTAGATAAGGGGGTTGATGAAGCACGAAAGAATAGCTCTGAGTATTTCCACGCTCGGAAATTCCACGATGGAGAAGACGGTATGCTGAGGACTCAAGTGAGGAGAAAGAGAGCAGAAACCACTCCCGAGCATCGGTCGAAATACACATGAAAAACCTGTTTCCCCTGACTCCGGCTGTTTGTCCCCTTCTGCAGCGAGATTGGTCCAACGGGCGAAGATAGCATCAGACGACGTCAGTCTTCGAAGGAAGGAAAACGTCCGAAGGTCCCGCTTGAGCCTACGCTCTGGTTCAGCGGATCGGGGAACAGGGGTACGCTGCCTGAACCTGGTTATTGGGACGCGCTAGGGCAAGGGACGACGGGAAGTCCCTCCGTCTGCAAGGCTATTATTTATTATTGATGCTGATCGAGGGTGCGCGCTCGCTCGCTCGCTCTCTGCCATTATTATTATTCCGAGGTTATCGAGGAGAAGAGTCATGAGGACGGGAGTGGAGTCGAGAGGGGGAGCTGCTAGTTTCGTCGGGGATCTCTGAACAATGGCGGAGACAGAACGAGCCGTGTATGGGGCTGTTTTCCTACTAACGGACTTTGGACATACTCGCGGGCCTCTTTGGATAACTACGGCATAGTACACTTCGAGTTCCTGTCTCGAGGTCTGTATCGCTGTATCGGTGAAATGTTACGAAGAGCGGAAATTGCTAACAACATTGCAATTACATGGGAGGAAGCCCCATCCATCCCATGTTCCTGTGTTTGGCCTCTGGCGGCCAATTCCTACTGCCAATGCAACATGGATGCAGCGAACAAACACTTGGAGACCGACCCTGCTTGGAGCCTTGGATCAGGTCGCCGTAGCCTTGGGGGACTGATGAATGCGCGAAGGCCGCCCAGACGACCACACAACCGGTTCTAAAATTCATTACCACCAGATATGAATGTTGGGGGGGACAATATTCGAGATGATACACCATACATAGCATACAAAGCATAACAAACATACAGTACGGATGTAAAACACACGAGCTGTAAAATGAAAAATGAAAAATTCAGAGTTAGAGGTACGGTACGGTACTCTCTGTACAGAAGGCAAAATCAGCAGCTTACACAAAGCAGGGGGCGAGCAAATAACGGTGATGTTGCGATGTCTCGTAAGTTTTGCGTGAGGAGCTGGGCTTGGACCGATGCAACCTCCCCCCTTTTCCACCCCCGCAGCTGCTGGGAGGAACCCACCCGCTAACTCTGAAGCGGAAAAGAAGCAGCACTTCCTGGTGGGACTAGCGCACGCGGAAGCCGGGAAGGCAGCTCTCAAAGCAATGGCGCATTCCAAGTCCAGGGCAATGGGAGCGATCACGTCGTCCTTGGATTATTTGGCCCCGCAGGCCACAGGCCGCAGCTGAGGAGGATGAGGATGTGAGACTTGCTTTGTGACAGGCATATTATTCTTGATACTTCGAAGCGATATTGGGGATTGTCTGCTTGAACGCTTGACATGGGCATGGTGCCACATGGCAGATATCTCTGAAGTCATTCGCTAGCTTTCATGAAGAACAATTACTAGGAAGGGATCCCTGCGCTGATAGTTGATGGGAAAGCGAGTTTTGCGGCCCGCCAAAGCGGATGCCTATCATATCAAACCCGCCTCGTTCAAAGAATATTCATTCATTCCGTTCAGGCAAGTATGGAAACGAACCGATTGAATTGGAGGCATTCCCCGCCAGCAGGTCGTCGATGGTGCTGCGATCGCCATACCCGATTGCAAAGCCTCGAGATACTCTCGCCTCCCGTACCGTACACCGTATATATCGCAGGAGTGCACCGGAAATTGTCACCGCATTAGAACGTCCAGTCAATAAACTACGTTAACGATAAAAGCAAGTTAGCTTTGGCATTATCCAAAGTCGCCTCATCGCTAGTCGATAGCAGCTCCAGGCCTTTTCCGCTCACTAGTCGGTACCGACAACCTGATTCCTGCGGCGATCCATCCTGGGGAGGTGTTACGATTCCGCCTTCCCCGCTGCCCCTAGAGGCTACCACTTGTGGCCAGTCAAGCCACACTATCGGAACCCGTGCTGGATTCCGTCCTTCGAAGCTGGATAGGCCGCTCCGGGGAAGTTTGGATAGTAACTTTAACTTTACAAATGGTACCTCTTACCATGACCTGTGTTCCAATCAGAATGAGAGCCACTCTCGTTTGACAGCCAGGTTAATCCCCCTGCAGAATTCAAAAAAATCGCCCAGGTACCTGGGCAGGAAGCAAGGACCAATCATGAATGGTATATTGCTGCTGCTTTTCATTTTGAATTTGGCGAATATCAGCAATAAATAATAGAGCCCAGTGCGTGCCAAAAATATGGAAGTTGGAAATCGCCTCCCAAGCGATTTTCAGCATCTGGTTGACCATTAAGCCCCATTGATTTGGCGTTAGCTGGACTGCACCAGCAGCGTTAACAATTCTAATGGAGAGCACGCCAAAACGAACCAGTCAGTCATGATCGCAGGCAATTAGGAATAATAATGAGTAGATAGGCGGAGTCAGGCTCGTCAAGATAACATAATGTTCCGCCCCGGAGCTGCAGGGCCCAGATGCATCTCGAACATTCCAACCCAACAAACTCCGCGGCGATTTTAATAATGGAGTCCTCGACTCTTGATTGAACTTTCGTGACGGACCGCTCCGGCGACCGAGCGGACTCCGATATCACAGCTACTGGCTGCAGATTTCTACTTTTCTCCATGGGAACCATATAGAATAACGCTAATCCCGTTCCTCGATGATGGCAATCAAACCTCACTCATTATTTTTTACTGTGGGCAACACTTAGGAAGTAAGACTACAAGACAAGTTGTTTAGGCCAAGGAAGGTGGAAAGTGCCGGCTGAATGACGGGGTCCGCCTACAGACATTCTGGTATCAGGCCCGTGTTATGAACTGTATGTCATGTAGGTGGCTACAATCGTTCTCGATCTGTATGCGATGGTAACGGTATGATGTAAAAGAGAAGGCACGGTAATATCCTGATGAATATACATTACAGAGCTTGCTGGTTCTGTTGGGAATTCATGTGCAAATTTGGACATGTAACTGGAGCCCTGATATGGATTGGTGAACTAAGCAATTTAACCATAAAGATTGAGAGTGGTTTGCTTATGGTATGATAGTACTGTGCATGGTTAACTAGATCATAAGTATTACTAAAGGTCGCGTGGCGGGTATCATCAGTATTAGTCAACGATTAAATGATATGTTAGAGTGCGACTTCATTCGGTTTTGAGGATGACTAGATGCAGAAACTTGAGGAGCTGCGAAAATCAGCCGAGCCGGGATGGGATGGGAAGACCAGGCGCGATTCTGCAGGGATGTGTTTACATCATCGACACTTATGAGACATATGCCGGATTGGTAACGTACATGTATAGTCCAAAGGCATGTCAGGGAAGTGTTTAGTTATCTGCAATGACGCGGTATATTTCTCCATTATTCTGTCTCAACTGCGTGCTTTTTGTTCTTTAAGAAACTGTACTCTAGTGCCAACATGATGCAAGATGCCTAACCCCACAAGACCTCGAAATATTAGAGAGAGGTCGTTGCTTTTTACTTTTATATTTTATTTGTCCCCTGTTCGTTGCTCGAGATGCATAAAAAAGCAAGGTCATTTAATATTCGGCTTCATCATCGCCAGCAATAATGACGTTGTTGACCTATCATCAACAGAGTTAGGATGTGAACAGAATTAAGGCAGACTCTAGCATGGGTTGTATATCAAGGGCAACATACTTTCAGAACCAAGCGACATAATTGAGTTGCGAGCAGGAGTTGTTGGCGCTTGCTAATTAAGGGGTCAATCACAAAATGTTGCTTCATGTCTGGAAGGAGTGAATATTGATTAGTCTCCGTCTTGTCAAGAGGGGTGCTATCAGTCGGGAGAGGGCGGTGGTCGGGGACACAAACCATTGCTGCCAGTGTTCATGCAATCCACACCAAGACAGGGATTATTTTCCTTCAGCTGGCGGGACTTAATGGAGGCAAGGGTCTCAATAGGACTGAGGCCGGAATTTTCTGCTAGTGCCATGGGAATGCTATCCAGAGCGTCTGCAAAGGCGCGCATGGCATATTGGGCGAGTCCGGGGCTCTATAAGTTGCACGATTAAAAAAAAAACAATTAGTACCTGACAGTCGGATGTTGCAACTTAGCATAGTTGTCAACTGTATGAAAAGTCATACCTTAACAGAAGCATCCTCTACAGCAAGAGAACAGGCAATTTCGGCAGCACCGCCGCCGTACACAACACGGTTATCCCGTACAAGATTCCTTACGACGCAGAGAGCATCGTGCAATGACCTCTTAGCTTCATCAACGATCTAACGTAGGTTTAGTAAATTAGCTTTAATTTTCAAGTTTCGTAAGAAAAGCGAATGGAGGTGGGCGTGTTTGCATACCATCTTATTACTGCCACGTAGGAAGACGGTCACAGCGCGAGTGTTTGCGCACTCCTCGATTATCAACATTTTTTCCCTGGTCGTACCGAAACTCATCTCGCGCACGATACCAGCAGTCCCTAGCTTCTCCGAGCTCAAATCCTCAAAGCGCGGTACAATCCTTCCGTTGGTAGCAATGGCGATTAACTCTATCTCTGGTCCCCCTACCCATCGGACGGCGGGCAAGCTGTTCTGGAGGAGAAGATGGTTCGCCTCATCATCAAAGCCCCACTGACAGATGACAAGATTCGCACCGGTGTCTTTGAGTTGTTGGACCATCTCTGTGAATTTATCCGTCTCATATGCTTGCAGCTTCTTAAATTCCTCAACACTCGTTATGTCAAGCTTATGCTTCGTTTTGGGCTTGGGGGGTTCAAATGCACAGGTCAGAATCGCGATCTTGGCGTCCTTAACTTGGTCGGGCATTTGAGGATGCGAGAAGTCTTTGTCGATAATGACACCCTTGACAAGGAGGGAGTCCTCGAGAGCACCGCCAACTTTACCGTCAACCTTAATGAGCTCGAAGTCGACATCCTTCCGTTCCAGATCTGCGACGGATAGAACTGCATCTACAGCCATGTTTGCGAAATGGTCATGAGCTTTCGAAACACTGCATCGAATAGTCAGCATGGGGATCTACGATTTTCAGAATGAGCACCGAGCGGAACACACATCTTGCTCCCCAGACTTGTCTTGGCGACCTTGATCAGGTTTTCTCGATCGTCTAAGGAGAACTTCATCTCATCGCTGATTCGGTCTAGTTCCTGAACAGCGATATCACAGGCCTGGTCATAGCCATCAGCTATTCTAATGGGGTGGATGCCCTTGTCAATTAAATCGGCAGCCTGTTCCAGAAGGGCCCCAGCTAGGACGACAACTCCAGTTGTTCCATCTCCAATTTCGTCATCCTGCGATTTCGAAAGTTCGACAAGAAGCTTGGCAACATTGTTCGATATTTCCATCTACCACCAAGAGTTAACAATAAGGCCCATATGTGTTGAAATGTCGAAGAAATTACGGACCTGAGAGAGAATGGTAGCTCCATCGTTTGTGACAGTGATATCCCCATCCGGCGAAATAAGAATTTTATCCAATCCACGTGGGCCCTACGAGTGTCTTTTAGAATGATGTATCGGTGATAGTTGACCGGAAAAAGCCTTGCGCACCAGAGATGTTTTCACAATGTTCGACACTGTCTTCGCGGCAACGATGTGTGATTTGACCGCTTCAGTCCCGCTCTGTCGTTTCTTCTTCCCTTGGCTGCAGTTTCACACGTCAAAAGCTTGTCTCTATATAATCCTCACGCAGATTGGGCTTTCAGGGACAGTTGAAACATACTCTCGAACAACGATAAACGGCCGCCCTTGCTCATCCTTCACAACAGAGGCTATTTCCAACCACGGTATTTTGTTAAAATTCAGGGGTTCTCAGCGAAGATCCGAGGAGAGAGGTGAGTAATATACCTTGGGACATATCAAGCTCTGTTTCCCGAGAACAAGTCAGTGATGTTTATAAAAACGATACCAGCTCATGGAGGGGCATTGACATACGCATCGCCATATTGAAGGTGGACCGCTAGGCGGTAGAACGCCTTGGGTTGAGATATTCCGAGAGTATAATAGAAGCGAAATAAATCAAAAAGTCCACAAAGAAGCTACAGATTGTTGAGAATTGGAGTTAGCGGAGTCCGAATGCAAGACTGTCTCTGCTGCTGTCGGCATCGGTTGATATGCGGCGTTGACGAAGTGGAATAATTTCTGGATTATGTAACTAACTAACTAACTAACTTAGTCTAGTCACTAGTCAAACTTCCTTCCCGATCCGGATGTTATTTTAGTTCCCAACCACCTCCAAACAACGCGCGCAGTTGCAATTCGCGACCTGGATGTCATCGCCTCAAGGAGAGAGGAAAATCCCATTATAGCTCAATAGAGTGACGGCTGGCTCAGCTTTTTATTCACAAGAATATCTCTACTACTAGGACTGGACGCGGATTTGATACATTCCCAGCTACTTGTGTGGATTCAATCATGCCTCGTGAGTCCCTTTTTGCGCCGTCCTGAATTGGGGGCTTTGACAATGCGATTAACTGTTACTCTTCTATATAGCTGCCCTTCAATCGAGCGAAGATGAATCTGGAGGGGAATCTATCCCCTTCAATGAGCCCGAAGACAAGCTACCGTCCACCAAGAAAACGGCCGAGGATGAGGACCAGGACGAGACTGGTGAAGAGGACGACAATGTGTAAGCAAAAGAAGCAATGCAAATGCTAAGACATGTTTCCTAATGATTTCCGTCTTGTGTAGATATGTCGTTGAGAAGATTATGGGACATGAGTTTGCCAAAGATGTGGGTATCGAAAAGCGCTCTCTATACAAAGGGTGGGATCAACTGACAAAAGATTCCAGGGCACTCTACTGCTCCAGGTAAAATGGAAAGGCTATGAAAATCCAGAAGATCAGACGCTTGAACCAGAGGAAAATCTAGTGTATTCCCCCTAACTGCCCCCAACCCCAATTCCTAAGGCCAAAGCCTAACATCATGTTAGAGGGGGCGCCGAGGATGTTATGAAAGAGTATTTCTCCTTGATAGGCGGACGACCTGAGAAGTCGTCGAAAAAACGGAAGTCCATTACGACGTCTACACCCACACGCGGCACGGCGGCCAGCAAAAGGTCAAAGACATCTCGCGCCTCGGAATCGAATGAGACACCAGAAACGGAAAATAATGTTGCGGATTGGGTACCGAAAACGAAGAACTGGGATTCACAGGTCAAGTCCATCGATACAATAATGCGCGATCCACCCACAGGTAATTTATTTGTGTACCTCAACTGGAATAACGACAAGAAAGCCAAAGTCTCGATTCAGCAATGTTATGAAAAGTGTCCGCAGAAGGTATGCAATGTCGATATTTTGCTGTCAAAAGTGCTATCGTGATGCTTGATTAAACTGATGCGATATCCTAGATGCTACAATTTTACGAACAACATTTGTATGTACCATTAAATGCTTCCCTCCTAACATCTTGAACGCCATGCTGACTTTCATACAGGGTTTTCAAGGACGCTTAGTCCTATGCTGCCCCACTAGCCTTGACTCTTTCCTACTTTATATTGTCAAGGAGGTTACCAAACGGTCGTCCTCTTGGATATATATCTCTATCATGAATTTTCTGCACTCCTCTTCCTGGCTGGCGGTATGTCAAGACAGAAGGTGCCGTTTCCGGACCGACCGCCGTGAAACCCAAACCAACTTTCTACCCTTATCTTTCATATCCGCAAATTTCTGGTACTTTGTAACGCAACAAATAATTCGGAAGGTGTTTTCCCCCCGTGTGATATTGGTTAGTGATTCAAGGATCATGGAGAAAAAAAATTACTTCCCAATACTGTGTTCTACTATATCTTTTAGCTTTTAGTCTTGGCTTTGTCGTTACTCTTTTACTACCATGGCTGGCTTTCTTTCAACTTTTAAAGGACAGGAAAGACAGGAAATTGAAGTATCTGTAATTCTTCTCGCCCTTTATTGGCCTTCTTTTCAATATTTTGTGCTTTTCTAGGCGTTCTTCTTCTCTTATTTCCTAGTCTTCTTTTATTTTCATCTGCTTCCTAGCTCTGGTCTTTTGATTTTATTTAAAAGATGAATTCCTGAGTTCTCGTTTGGGTGCTTTAAATTTAAGCAAGCTAACGTTAGTAATGGGTGTTTATTGATAATTTAGCATTTGACCATGTAGCGCTTTCAGCTTCAAGGTATCTTGGAATATGAACTTGTATATAATTTTTTCGGCTTCAATCCCACTGACGGTCATTGGATATCACAAACCAGCAAAAATGAAAGGAAAGAAGGGCGCCGAGAAAATGTCTTAAATGAAGCGTCTTCCATCACTCGGCTGGGTCCTCCATTTGGATTATCACCTCTCTGCGGGTCATTATATACTCAAACCGCGCATTGAAAAGCTCATCCCCATGCTTCTGCAGCACAGCCTCAATGCCCTTCGAATCCGGCGCTTCAAGGCATTCATCGTCTTCTTGCGTCCAAACCCCTCTAACATTATCGGGTATTCCCTTCCCAGCTGCCATCGTCTCGAGCACTGTATCAGCTAGATCGGGGTCCATCGTGGTGCAGGCAAGAGCCTCGAGCACTTGCTGCTGGGTGTATGCATTGCGGCCAGTGGTTTTGGAGGCGATCCATTCGTCCATGTGCTCGATGGAGGGTTGATCATCCGCCGAGGATGAGGGTCCGTTACCCGCGCGCGCATCTCCATCTGTAACTGGGGTTGGCTGGGGCGTTTGAGAGCCGTTTAACTCGCCTTCGCGATCTAGGAGCTGAGGAGGGGTTTGATAATGACTTTCCAAAGTCTCCTGTCGAAATTGTTGAGGGGCAGTTTCAAAACGTTCCTCTGATGCTGAGTTGGTGGTGGACACCGCACAGCTTGCGGAGCCGGACTTTTCGCTGTTACCGGGATAGGGGGAGTCGAATTTTGAATGTGTGCTTCCTTCCCGAGTAGAGGAAGAGCGAGAGTCTCCTGGCGGACGCTTCGAAGTCACTATTTTATCGGATTGGATGCTTGTAGCGGATGGAGATGCCGATGCTTGGGGTATGTGCCCAATAGTACTTCGTTTTCGACGTTTCGCGGAGCTAGATTCTATTCCGGTGGAAGGGATATCTACTGCGCTCTGCCGTCGTTTTCTAATATCTATGCGCTGTTTCTTCCGGGGAGTGAAATGTTGTGGCTTCCCACTCTCGGGAACGGGCAAATGGTTGTGGCTTTCACTACGTTGTCTCCTGGAAGATTCAGTACTAGGCGAAGGAGTGGCAGTTGCTTCATGGCGATTTGCTTGTGGAGTCCTGCGAGAGGGGTCAGGTTTCGATCTCCTTGCCTTGTACTCTGGAAGGATAACGTTATGAAAAAAGGACTTCCATTCCGCAACAGATTTCCCGGTCTATCGTAGTTCTAGGTTAGAAAAAGAGAAACGATGCACAATTAAGGATCTGCGGACGTCATACATTTTCAGCATACGCGGACCAGGCCTCACCTTCTTTGCCCTCTTCAATATTGAGAATATCCTTTACATGATTGAGTAAGTCCTCTTTCTCTTCTTTCGTAAATCTTTCGTATCTGTGGCTGCTCGAACCGGGAGCTCCGGCTTTAGATGTATCCACTGGGTGCCTCTCCTGGGTCCTTGTTTTTCGGTCTGCCTGGCGGGCAGATGACGCACTGCTGCTCCCACGCTCTGGAGCAACAGGTCGTGAGCGATCTTTGACCTTTTTCAGGTAACGATCACGCCAGGATTGAAACGTATGATGAGGATACTGAATTCATCCCCACTTAGTAGATATACCTGTAGTAGGCAAAAGCATTTATTCATTGAGAGCGAAAAATACCTTTTCTGCAAGTTGCTGATAGATTTTATTGCCTCCTATCCGCCCCCCTTTCTCTTCAAAAGGTTTCACCCAGTCATATAGAATTTGATCATCCTTCGCAGTGAAGGCAGATCTGTGGGACTTCGGGCGCGTGATGGTCGACCCAACAGGGCGGACATACATGGCCTCAGGACCAGCACGGTGGTCTTCTAGACTCTCCAATCTCCCGTTCTGAATGGACTTTTCGATATACTGGAAAGATATTCTATCAAGATGTTATCTAGGTGAGCAATAAACATAGTGTTACTGGGGTCTACGAACGAGCCAGGGGGGTTGTTCCCTCTCATGTGGTCCACAAGGAGGACATCAGCATCCTTTTCCAGGAGTACTACCTTCCCACCATTGGCCTAGCAGCAGTCAGCATTACAGTTTGTAAACGAAACAATGCATTTTGTTTGTATAGGCTTACTTGAATCTGCTGAATTATCCATGATCTGGATGGGACGGTTCTTGACAGCCAAAACTTTGTGTCTTTGAACAATCCACTAGTCATATTTGCATTAGAGACGCCCGAATAGACCACAGCGGGACCTGGCATATTCTGTATATGTCTTTTGTGAATAACCTCTCATATCAAGCATGGTTGGTACACTACCTATTCTGTAGGTTTCCGACATCACCACATCACCTGGGCACCTGTCAAGTCACGTGGAGATAAGGTTCTTATCAGCTCCCTGCGCCCAAACAACGAAAAGTTGCGCAAAATGTCAGCATTTATATCTCAAACAACACAACAACAACTTTACCTCGATATAGGGGATGAATCGGAGCTTTTCTGACCTCGGGATGGGCCTTTGAAGGTCTGGGTCTAGAGAAGAAACAATTTAAATTCTCCTTTGCGGCTTACATTTTCTTCATTAGGTGTCCCAAGGCAGGCAAGATGGGAACACTTGGGACTGTTGTGGTGGTGGTTCTTGTTTTGTCGTTCCTGACATTCGTTGCTCTATTTGGGAGACTCCCAGCCTTGAGGTATTCCACGACTTTGTCTTTTATAGAGTCCCTGTTTGTTATAATTCTGAATTCTAATAAGCTGGGTTTGGTTTCAGAAAAACTCCAATTGGTTTCCTGCATCGTATCATCTGGATCCATTTTCCCAAGCTTCTGCGCTTGGTTGATGGCGCCATTTGTGGAGGCCGGGTCTCACGATGGGGAAGCCGGTCCGGGAATTATTTACTATATGAAAACCATCCAGTGGTATTGGTACGTGACTATCCGAGTCAATAGTTTAAGAATCTCAGAGTTACTCATACGGCCGTAGATATTATTCCTGGTACTGCTCGTGGGCGCGGAAGTGATGTTCGTTCCAGCCGTCTGGCCAAGGATTGGGATATTCCACAAGCTATGCATTCCAGTCGTCGTTATGTTGCCGTATTGGTTCTTGTATAGCTCTGTTTTTACAACTTCCACTATCACGCGAGAGAACCTCCGGGAGCACATGCGATCGTATCCCTATGATCGAATTTTGTTTCATCCTGGCTATGTCTGTCGAACTTGCCATACTCTGAAGCCTGCTAGAAGTAAGCATTGTAGCATTTGCAATGTATGTGTTGCTAGACATGATCATCATTGTATATGGTTGATGAATTGCGTTGGCCAGAACAACTACGGCTATTTCTTAGCGCTCCTGCTATCGATGTTTGTGTTGCTCTCCTACGGAAGCTATCTGGGATACTGCCTACTCGATCGGCATTTACAGGACACATTAGTCCTAAGTTTTCCTACCGCAGTACATTCCAGACACTGGGCCAAAGGAATTGAATGGGGGTTGTATTTCCAATTCTGGGGATATGCAATTGCGGATGACATTATTGTTGGGGGGGTTTTCATGCTAGCTCTGCTTACCTCGCTGCTGCCCCTTGCGATGTTTCTTTACCATGTGTACTTGATCTGGAGCGGTATGACTACCAACGAGAGCGCAAAGTGGGGCGACTGGCGAGACGATATTGCAGACGGACTCGTATTCAAAGCAAGGAAAAGTGAAATATATCCCGAAAAGCATCCGGATGCGGACATTGTCGAACCATACGTTTCATGGCCAATCCAGGTTGACCAAACCCTGATTTTCACAGACGATGGACATCCCCCAAGGGTTGGGTTTAGTCTGGCTAGGGAATGTACCTCAGTCACCCAACCTGTGGATTTGGACGCGGCCCCCGATACAAGATGGATGAGAGTAAAAAGCCTGAAGGATGTGGTCAATATATACGATCGGGGGTTTTCGACGAATTTGAGGGAGGGGTTGCGTTTGCGTCAATGATATTTTCTTATGCTGAACGCGCAGCTGATGATCGTGTAATTTAGAAATTACGGAAATATCACTAGATTACTGCGTGCCCTACTGGATATCTGATATTTTCTTGGTCACAGTCAACTGCTTCCACGGGGGACGATATCACGTAGTTATATTCTATCATAACTGAAGTTAACTAGTATTCATGAGATTCAGATCTTTCTGAGCTTTGTGAATTTCTATAGACAGTTTATCTTTGCATTTATAAGAATCTTCTTGACTCTTACAGATATACTGAAGAATGAAAATAAGAAGAAGTCATTCTATAAATAGAGAATGAAAGAATTATTGAGAAGAGAGAGCTGTAAGAACTTTCTTATCTCAGAAGCTTATAAGATCTTTATAAGATTGAAACAGATATTTACAGATATAGTGATACTGTTTCACTTTGATTTCTTACTCTTAATCAGATTAAAGATAGATATCTTCTTCTTTACAATTTCAGAAATAGTCTCACAACTATAGTTAAATGAGAACTAGGTTTCAGTGATCTTTTTCTTATGAAAGATGTAATCTATGAAGATTAACTATAATATTTATAATCAAGAGTTTCTTATAATAGTGAAATTCTTTCATCACTGATATCACTACTTTGAGAGTCTTATGAAAGTGATTACTGTTAGAACTGATTATAATAGCTTATAATAGTTTACTTTAATTAAGAAACTCTCAAAGTAGCAGATTCACTGAGCTCAGAGACTGAGTGAGTTCTGATTCAAGATAGAGTATATCAAGAGAACTAAGAACTCAGCAGACAGATTCTCTCACAGATCAGACTATATTAAAAAGATTAGAATAACAGACATAGAAAGACTAGAGAAGATAGAAAAGCTTTATAGAATACTCAGACTGAGTGTTATAAAGAGATTAACTGAAGAGTCTCTTAATTCTCTATAAGAGAAGAGAGAAAAGAGAGAGAAGAAGTCTGTATAACTACTCTCTATAATACTGAAAGTTAACACTCTAAGAATTTCTGTAAGAATTCTTGAAGAGAGTATCTATAATCTGAAGAGTTTGTAGACTTTGAGAAGTATTACAGAAGATCTGATATAAGAGAAAACAGAGTATAAGTTTTTATAAAATCTTCTATTCAGATTATCTGAACTGTAATTAAAGAATAAATATACTCAGTATATTCAGAAACTACTTACAGCAGAGATTAATCTTACAGAAATAAAGAATTAAAGAGACTTAAATAATTTCTTATAAAGAGAGAGTCAGATTTATATATCTATAAATGAGTTTCTATATATAGAACTTATTAAAAGATATTATAACTCTTCTCTAATAAGTTATTTTATAGATACTAGAACTTATAAGTTACTTATAAGAAAATACTTCTAATCAAAGATATAAGAATTTATAAAGAAGATAGTAAATTCTTATACTATTTATCAGAATTTATAAATAGTATAGTTCAGATTATATAAAGAAATTACTTCTCTACTTATCTTATAGAAACCTTGAAAACAGTTAGAAATAAACACTCTTATAAGTCTCTCTGAAAGTAAGAATATATATAATATCTGCTTTAACAGTGTGCTAGTAATAGTGAATCACTTTACTAAGATGATATACTTTATATTCACTTATAAGAACTTAAAGTTAAAGAATTTAACTTATATCTTTATCTGTAATATAATCTAATTATATGAATTATCTGTAAATATTATCTTAGATAGAGAATTAATCTTTATAGAGAAGTTCTAATTTAATCTGATAATTATACTGAAGATCTTATAAGATTTAAGTACAGCTTTTTATTAATAGATAGATAATTAAATAGAGTATTTAATAAGTATATTAAAATAATATCTACAGTACTTTATTAATTACAATCAGAATAACTAAATATATTAATTATCACTTACAGAGTTTATATATAATAACTTAAAACATGTTAATATAGATAAAACTCTTTTTGAGATACTTACTAAGACTTATCTACAGATGATCTTGATAAATCTGTAAGAGTACACTATAAAGTATAATAATATCTGTGAATAAGCTAAGAGAATTCAGAATATTTAGAAGAAAGTCTGTGAATTCTTAAGAAAGACTCAAGAGTATCAGAAGAGATACTATAACTTTAAGTATATTATAAAAAGTTTTAAGAAAGATAATAGAGTCTGACTGAGTTTAGAAAATATTATTATATAAAGATCTAGTAAGAAGCTGAATCTCTTATAGACAGAGTCTTATAAAATTATAAAGAAAGTTAGTTTATAGTTCTATAGATTAAAACTATTATCTGAGTTATAGATATATAATATTTTTTATATCTCTTTACTCTATGAATATAAGAAATTCTTAGAAGAGAACTCTATAACTTATTACTCTATTTATAAAGTACTAGAGAGTGAAAGAGAATATCAGATTAAAGAAATTATTAACTCAGAGAAGTGAGATTATAAGCTCTGATTCAAAGTTCAGTAATAAGAGTATTCTGATAAGATGAATAAGTTTACTTAAGAATTATCTGAGTAGATAAGATATCTGTGAAAGCTGAGACATGACTTTCATACTATAAATTCTGATAAGTCAGAAAAATGCAGTCTTCACTAAGAATCTGATTATAATAAAGATATTAACACTGTTATTTATAAATTCTAGTCTATAAAATGATGAGTTTCTACTGAGATAAATAGTTCACAGTGTATATAAAGAGAAGAAGAAATTATATTCTTATTAAAATTAAAAAATAAGAAAACAGAAATAGATCTGTAAACATAATTTAAAGATTAATAAAGAAAAAATAAAGAAAATTCACACTTATATTCTTAATATCTGTAATACTTAACTTCTCTGTAACTATCAATTTCTCTCTTTAAAGAAATAGAGAGTATTATATCTACAGTACAGATAATTGTTACATTTAATACAAAAATCACTGAAAATGCACAGACTTCAGAGAAGTCAGATATCAGAGTATGTATAGTTACAGCAGAGTCTTGAAGACTGATTATCTATATATATAATTAGATACTTCTTATAAAGCTGTATTCACTCTCTTAGTTATGCTGAAGTATTCAGTCTGAAAACAATTGAGATATAGAGAGAGAGCTCATCTACTCAGATTAACTTTCATCACAAATTTATAATATTTATATTATCTTAATTATCTGAATTTTATAAGTATCTGAGAACTCATCTCTCATTGATAATGAGATTTCAGAAATGTGCTGCAGTGTGAGAACTGTTAATAGAGAATCTAGACATATTTACATATATCTAATCAGAGATTATATAAGTAAAAGAGAAGTAATTATAGATCTGTGAGACTGCAGAAGATATTAATAATATTAGAAGTTTTACAAGAACTATCAGCTAGAGTCTGTAAGAAATTACTTATAAAGAGACTTATAGTAAAGAGTAAGACTGCACTACTTAGAGTCAGAAACTGATCTGAGAAAGATATAAGATTAACTACTAATCTGAAGATTGAATACAGTGATAGAGCTGAAAGAGATGAAGATACTATTATAAACAGTGATATCTCTACTTCATCAGCCAGTAAAAAGTAATTAGAAGAGTCATAGAGATACTTATAAGAAGCTCAGCAGCAGTCAGACATTATTTATAAAGATATTAAAATTGAAAAAATTTTTATTCTTAAGAAGTTCTTAAATTAATATATGAATATTGTTAGAAACACTCTCTCTCTGTTATCTAAGTGAAAACACTTCATAGATGAATAATAATACTCACAGTTTATAAGAATAAGAGCTGTTATAGAAAAAGAGAAAAGAAGATGAGATTCTGTAAATAGATCTGAGATATTTATACTACTTTAGAGAGATTTATTTACACTGTAAGTGATTTTATAAAACAGTCAGATTACTCTAGTAAATAAAGAGTAATTATAAATTACAGATCTGAATCTTTCTATATAACTATAAAGAGTAATTATAGACTGTAAACATCTTGATTCTATAATTCTACAGAGTTAATAAAAGAATGAAAAATTCCTCACAATTCTACAGTATTAAAGAACAATGATTTGTGAGAATAAGTGAAAGATTAACTTATAAATACTTCTCTTTAATAAGAGTGATCTTATAGAGAGTGATTCATCTATGAGATGAATCTATGTAATAATCACACAAAAATCTTATAAAAATAATTGAGAGTCAACTGAAATTCTTCTATATGAAAGATGTGAGATGAACCTGTATAATAGTCAGAGAAGCATCATAGAAAGATTCCAACCGCTCCACCACGAACTCGCTCGATTTTTCGAATAAGAACCCGCCGATAGATCCATCGAAAAGCCCTCGATCATACGAGCATTTTGACCCCATCGCCGACCGCATACCCCGTGTGGTGGTGGAGTTATCCAGCCAAACGTGAACCAGACGTCGTTCGAAACTCCTGTGTGGGATTATCCCCCATTCTCCCCTACCACACCACAACCCCGGGCCAAATTGCCATACAAATTGTAAGGTGAAGAGACCTAGCCATATGCACCAATCTTCTCGATTTTGGAAGATCCCCGATCTGTAGTTGTGGAGATATCTGAGGAGCGACCTCCGCGAAAACCCTGTCCATCTTTGATGTTCCAAAACACCAACGCCAAGTCCCACCCTCGTACCGCCCTTCCTAATCTGGCCCATCCCCGGCAGAAAAATACAAAAAGATACCTCGGTGATAATATCAAGCACATAATCAACAGCCACTTCTGAAGTGCAACCTCCACGGTCTGTCTTCAGTGTATCTAGACATCAACACCAAGTCTCACCCTCGTACCACCCCTCTCAATCTGGCCCATCCCCGACAGAAAAGTACAAAAAGATACCTCAGCAACTGTACTTGATACATAATCGGCAGACACAACAACTATAAAATCAGTATACCTCAAGGTCTGACTGAGCCTTTGATCCCTGCA